AGTAATTCGATTTTCTTTTATCTCAGCTCCAAATACAAGCATATACATACAGTTTCCACCAACTTCACCCGATTATATAACCCTGAGGCACACAAATATATGCCAACGAACAGATGTTGCATGATATACACATCACAAACTGTAGTGTGATATGACTCCGAATTGTCTTAATATATGTTATTCTTTATCCCCCAACAAGTCTTCAATTTTGATACCATTCTGTACATTCATTCATAATTGTGTTTACTCTTTCATAATTGTTCACTCTACGTTTAACTTTAGTGCGGTTCGGATCCAATACTTTACACCTTGTGGAATCTCATTTTCTGTATTGGTAAATATGAAGAGTAGATATCTGAGTTGATGAACAGTTATGTAGTGCATGACTGATAAACGTAAACGCACGACGAAAGTAATTAATCAGCTAACCAAAAAGTAGTTGAAGTCATTTCGTTATGTAGTTAAACGTAATCGGGTTTCGTGGTAGTTGTAAATTGTCAATGAGGCCTATTTGTAGCCTTGCGGAGACCGATGCTTTTAGTGGTATCCGAATCCGCATCACCCAGATTCGCTGTTTGTAGGTTAATCACTAAGTTGTGGATTGATTGAAGTTAGATGTTGACAGTGGTGTAGAGGTTAAGCGCTCGCGTGAGATACTGATAGGTCCTGGGTTCGGATCCCACGTGCGGGACCGTGGATGTGCATTGCTGAGGAGTCCCACACTAGGACGAAACAGCCATCCAGTGTTTCCATGGTGGTCTAACTTACATTGACTCATGAATTCAACTATTAAATTTACTACAATCTCCATAAACACCATTCTGATCAAAATGTATTATAAACGACAATAGTTTTTGCGTCAAACCAAAGCTTATAAGCAGAAGAACACAAGGATACAAAATTTGTATTTAGTAATACATCAAAAACATAAATAATGAGTTCGAGTTAAACAGTTTAGGAAGTTCAGCCTTACTTAATATTTACTCTGTTACAGAAGTTTAAGTGTAAACTCATGTAAAGAATAAGCTAAAAGTATGATGTATGGGTACGAGCCAATCGGGATCGGCATACTTTTTTGTTAATTTTTTGCGCGAAATTCAAAAATGACGACTTATGGTGGAGGACACATATTAGTGGATTTTTATAGCATGTACTTCTTTATGTTCAATATATAACCTATATCCAGAATTTTTTCGTCCATTCAGTGAGTGAATGATGTAGGTAAGAGTATAATTTTTACTGAAAATCCCATTTCAAGTTCTAAATTTCACCTCATTTATATTTTTATCCGGTAAATTGAAATGAGCTATGCTGGGGTGTTCACATAAGAAATGTAGATAGTCTGAGATGACCAAAATGAATTTCCCAGTAAAATTTTGACTCATATATGCAGTACTGGCACACTAAATGTTAGACATTGCACATTCATATCACAATTGAAAAGGGGATGGTTATCCCCGTACTTGATTTTATATGTAATACAGTGAACAGTAGAAATACTTTGTCTGCTGCTCAGAAAGTTTGAAATTATAAAAAAAATTTACTTTGGTAATCATAGAGCGGAAACGATTGCTCTGCGCTTATCAAATCCTCAGCAGTTTTCATTTAGATTGTAAATAGCACGCAAATCAATCAAATTTTTAAAACAAAAGTCTAACCGGAAATAATGTGTGGACTCAAAAAGAAACCTTACTATTTACATCTTCACAAGCGTTTGACAAGGTAGATGTTACATTGTAACACGGATGAATTTACATACTATTGTCTTCTCCTTGTACAGATATGAAAACATTCGAAAACTTCATTGAATGAATTAGTCATGTAAAATATGTATAACCTTTATATTACCAGTTTTTTCATACAAACTATTTAATTACAACAATGTTTCCTGATTGGTTAGGAATGAAAGCAAAATTTATTGTAGCTACTTAAAGAATCACTCTAATGTATGCCTATACTACATATGCTCTTATCACAATCCCCAAGTGACTGAATAATACGCTATTGGATCCCTGCTCAGTGGTGTAGATGATAGCTCGAAAGATTAAATGTGCTGGGTTCGATTTCCTGTAGTGAGGTTTTGAATATGTACTAGGACAAAGCAGCCGTCCAGTGCTTCCAAGTTTTCAATGGTTATCTTAATTTGGTCGGTTCGTAATTTCACTAATAGCTAGCAATCTCATCAACTGCCACTTTGATGACTAGTGTTAACGTGAATAAGGGAAAGATAACCCATAAATGGAGGTTAAAAATAAACCAGTTAGTAAAACATGACAAAATAAAGGGAAAATAGAACAAAAAATAAACTAACAAAACAAGTAGTCTGAAAAATTTGTTCAAGAAATAGAGTGCCTCTTCCGATAAGGGATTGTAGAATTCTAGTGAGAAGCCGTTACCAAAGGAGCTAAACCGTGTCACGCGTGAGGAAGATACTAACAAATAACAATGAAAGATGGTCGTTCACTATCGTGCATTCATTAAAGTTAGAGAGTAACACCGTTGGATGCCGACTCAGTGGTTTAGAGGTTAAGCGTTCATGTGCGAGACTGAAGGTCCACGAAATTAAATGCTCTGCGGAAAACAATGAAATACATTATTTCTTCCTGTAGAAGTTCAGGCAAATTCACCACATGGAATATCGCAATTATTTACATTTTAGTCATTCAGATTAATCAAATATAATTTTTATATTTGATATCTTCTATGGGCTTGGTGCTTAATATCTGTCAAATCATTTATTCGACTTTTAACGAATACTCGCATAAACATAACGAGAATGTGTTCTAATAATGAATACATTCACTTTGAGACAATTAAAATGTACTAAGTCGACTGTGGAACAATTATTTGAAACTGGTGTAAAAATAAGTGAGGTACTTAAGTTCACCTTTTTACTGTTTACGTTCTAGGTTGAATTGAGAAGATAAAGTACATAAGCCATATCGATAGATGAAGCCAATTAACAAGTTACCAAGTAAAATGATATCTCAGTATATTCAGTCTACATTTTGGGATTTGTGTTCAAGAGCCTAACAGCTATTGAATAGTTTTTTAGATTGATATTATCTATTCACTTTACAGTCGAATGAAATCAGTGGGATTCGTCAAATCTTTTATTTTAATTATTCTAAATCCAATTTTCAATTTTATCTACACTCAATTCAAACTCCATGAAAAAGAAACATGACGATTCAGTTGACTTTTACCTTCAACTTTAAATCCACACAAATCGTGCAAAGTGAATTTCATCTATGAATTAATTACGAAGTTATATCCAGAAATATTAAGGAATGGAAAAAATAGAATCTAAATTGAAATAGAGAATGAAAATTTCTTAGCTGTTAACCATATTATATGATCAGAGCTAACAAGAGATAATTGGCATCGAACTTGGGATGAGCTTTTGAACATATATTCAGTTATTCTAATGGCTAAACACTCACTGCGAGAACTTAAGATTATGGAGTTCGATCCCTGGTTTGTACGCCAAATGAGATTAATCAATTATCAAAATAACCTGCAAGTTAAACTAATTTCTACAAAAATACATTTACTAAAAAAACTAACTTGAATAGAATTTAGTACATTTTATTTTATTTATAATTGTTGTGAACAGACAACGCAAATCATATACACGAAAATTGCATTTCGGTTGGATAAAAGGAAAGACTAAGAATAATACACGCAATCGAAATACATTGATCAATTCATAGGCAATAAACAGTGGCAGAATTAGAAAAGGATGCATGAAACAAGAATAAGAGCGAAAATGTTGTATGTTGGATCTTTTAGTTTCATAATTTATATAACAATCAGTGCAATGAATACAGATTCAACAATGCGCACATATTGACATTAAGAATCTCATCCAGGAACCAATTCAACTAGTATTGAGATCACCCTTATGAGAAAGAAACGCCACTAAGTGAAATGAATCAAACATTAATTTATTCGAATATTAACTGGTAGAGAGAGAGAGAGAGCGATAAAAATAGATATAGACAATCGCATGAATATGCTTTCTGCTTGCACTAAGTGGATTGGAACACACACAGAATTTACAGGTATTTCTACGACGGTAGAGTGATACTGACATTGAATAGTTTGTTTCCAACTAAAAAGGTGTATATATATTCGTAATAAGATGTTTACAGCAGTAGAATAGTGATACTTCTCAGGTTACATCAGATATACACTAGGCATTAGAAAAAGAAAGAAAAGAACTAAGGTATACTGGATGCACATTGTTATAATAATTAGCTTTGCTGTGTGCTGGAATTGTTTGCCAACTTTACTCTTCATATTGTACACACAAAAACAAAAACGTTTGGTAATGTAATTATTTAAAGGTAGTCTAGAAAAAAAAGCATATTGAGAGGATTAGAAAAAAGTTACACTAAAAATGCGATATACATAATTTACAAAAACCGAATAATAATTATAGAATACACATAAAACGAAATCGATTAGTAGTGTTACTGATATACACAACTTAGCTAAAATGAGTAGATTTTGAGAAAATGCAGAGGCCTATATAGTAATCTATATGCGAATTGGAAGTATTCATCGGAAATTACGATTGCTATTTTCTTTGCCTACGAAAGCAAAAGCAGTATAACTTTTAAAATACTGGAAGGATATAAATATAAATGTACGACAGAGTTGTGGGACACAAAACATCAGTATTACATAGAAATTTAGTGGCGCGGGATATATTTGTAGACAACAGGATACTGTGTCATTTTTTAAAATCAGAAAAGAGTAGATAGAAAACACAAAGGTAGGAGAAATTAATGACAAGAGAGGTAGCTAATAAAACAATAAACAGATGCATGTACAATACACGTTGAACAGTCTGGCCACAAAAAGTGAATATTTAATATGTACATAAAGAAAAACCAAGAATTCACAGGAAGAAAAATACTTCACCGGAAATGTACACGTAGTGAAATATTAATATGAATTAGGAATGATTATTAAGAAAAAAGGAAGATTGGATCCTAGTTATCTAGATATTGAGCTTCTGTGTGCGTAGACCAGTTTTCAAAAACATCATACAAAGAACGAAATGTAGGACGATTCTCTGGTCTAGCGTCCCAGCATTTTCGCATAAGATTGTATAAGTCATCAGGACAAGGATGTTCAGGAGTATGAGGACAAGGTAATCGATAACCTTTTTCAACCTCAGCTACTGTCTGACGGGTAGTCATTCCTAGAAGAAAAACAATGGACAGAAATGAACAGATTTTACAAAACCACATATGCATGCAATAAGACTATGGAAACAAAGTTATAGGTATTTTCCCACATCCCCAGGTACAAATTATTTTGGTTACGAGAAAATACTTTTTAGACAGAAGCGGAATGGAAAAATGCCGAAATGGACCGATAAATAGTAACAACTAACAAAAAACGTTTATCGGTCTTACGGGTGAGAAAATATGATTTGTGTGGATGAGGTCCTGTTATGGAGGATAGGTTTCAGTATTTGACGAATGAATATGATGATATGGCTGACAGATGAACCGAAACCATACTATGCGATCAAGTGATAGCTGCTCATAAGATTGACGTGTCGATGCACACCCGCAAATGAAATATTATTAAAAAAACCATATGGCAGCAAAGAAGTAGGTTTCACCTCGAGTAAAATGACATGATTAACTCCAAAGATATTAAATACAAGAAGACGTGATTAGATGACATTTAATAATAAGTACGAGGTTGGAATCCGTAGGTCACTCACTCACCAATCAAATAAAGAGACCTGATTTTCAGTATTAATTATTACCTGTCATATCACGTTAACATTGTAATTCAGTTTAATTTAACTGAGCAACCATTGTACAAATTAGTATGCTCACACTTTGGGAGACTGCTTGATGAAGGTTACTGTTAATATGAGGGGAAGGATTATCTAAACAATGACAATTAGTATTTGAACCTGTGTGAAAGTGGAAAGAGGAGAACAACGAGTTAGTTAATGGTTAGGGAACTTGGGTTTAAAATATCGTAAGTTTGAACTCCGTATCACTACTATTCCGAATTCGACAATTAAGTAATACTATTTAGTTAGTACTAACTATACGGATGAACAAATTATGACTGAGATAGTGAACTTGAGGTCACGGCGCACGGATCGATAAAGATTGCTGATGGTTGATGATTTCATTAAGGAAAATAAATTATTTGCGAGTTAGATTGTTAATAAGACTCATACGGATTAGTATCTTTACTGATTGTTCAACTGCAAAACAGAAAAAACCAAAAACCCATCTCAACCTATTCATTGAAAACAGTATATAATTTGAATTTTTTCTTTTGTATGATACATTTTTCTTCCACATTAACATTATGATTGATAAGAAAAATTGGAAAAATTTTCAAAATCGTTTAGAGAATCAAGCAACTTATCACTAGACCTTATGGATGCATACAAAGTTTGGCTCAAAGCCCGTTACATAAATCTGTACTTGGCAAATGACTAACATTAAATAATAACCACTAAAAATATGCATATTTGATCAGGAGTCGTTGGTATAAGGACGAAACACGAGCTCTGGATTCCATTGCTAGCCACATTTCATCTACTGTCAGTCAGTTACAACGTAGGATCAGGCACACACATGTATCGGTCCAAGTTTCCACACCTCATTAGTACAGCAAGACGAACACCGGATTCATAGAAGTAGTTAACTCAATGGTATAATATATAAAGGAAAGATTTTATGTAAGGATGTAGTACAGAAAGAAATATGTGAAATAATTTTAATCTCAGTTTAAGGGAGGACAAAGAGTGTATACACCTACGCCATTGTGATCGATTCTGAGCCATGTCACCCACAGTCATCTAATGTACATAAACTTGTATAATAATGGCTATATCTATACAGTCTGCACAGGATGCTCATACACCAACCAAGACTGATTAAATCACAGTCGACAATATCAACAACGGGATGATCGAGAAAATAATTCAAATTGAATTAAATCTCATACCCATTGCACAAGTGAGTTGCTATATAGATTCAGTAGCTAAGTGGATAACCCGATGGCATTTGAAGTGAACGGTACTCGGTTAGACTCCCGGGGTGAACATAAACTCTGGGATGCAGGTACACCCAACTGAAGAGTAGAGCGAAACGCATGTCATCCATTACACTGGTAGCCACATTCTATCCATTCTACATCACCAGAGATATATTATCCAAAAAAATTAAGAGAAAGCACAGTTGGACAAATTACTATCAATCCATTTACAACCTGACCCCGAATGAGTTGAATAAACCAATTCCACAGTATCATTATATTTCACTAATCAACAGACAAGAAGGATATTGTACAGTTTTGAACTTTATTGTGGCTATAAGAATTTCTGATTATTAGATCATTGGAGTTAGGTATTCAAATCTCTTACTGATCATGAATATTCGACAAATGGTTGGCTGCGACTAGCCCTTATATATGCCCTGGTACGGCCGAGGATGGGGAGAGTCCGCTCTCCCTCTCCAAATGCTCTCATATAACCACGCGTATACAGCCACTGTCAGGGAAGTCCTACTCACTGCCTTCTTGTGGTGGGGTGTTGTTTACGAAATTGGGAGGACGAAAAGCGAATGTCAGGCTCTTGAACTGGGTTGGCGGATATGGAGGATTCACCTATGGGGGTTGGAAAACCCCGATTCGAAACCAGTGGTGCACATGGGCTCCAGGATCTTGAGGGAACAAATGGTGTATGAACCTATTGCTGGGCAGTATTCACAGCCCACACACAAATCAAGTGGCTTGTGTATTCGGTGCTCCTTTGTACCAACATTTATGTGTCCAAATAAATAAATTCTATATATAATAGTAAGCGATGAGAAAAGACTTTTCCCACAAATCAAAATATGTAACATATAGAAATAAGCCACGATTAATCAAAATATCGATTTTTTTATAAACGGAATGCAAAAATTTTGATGAACAGCACTGGTTACCTGGATAAGGCGTTCCACCGTAAGTGACTATCTCATACATCAATATACCAAACGACCATACATCAGACTTTATACTAAAGATATGCTGTAAAGCCGCCTCTGGAGCTGTCCACTTAATAGGAAATTTAGTATCTTTAGGGGAAAGAAAAAAATCAGTTCAACAATTAGATGAACTAAAAAACCAACTTCATATAAATATTAAACTGGTAGGATAAGAAAAATCTTTTCTGTTGTTATATAAACTATAGGTAGAATAAATAATAAAAATAACATTTTGTCGTATGTATCTAGTTTACATAGAATCTGGTATAACTGGAGGTCAAAAAATAGTATGAGCCACACAAAAATATTTGCGTGTGGGCTGGCATATTGTTAAGTTGCCTAAACCGAAACAGATGGGTTTTACCAAGTAGTTACTCTCAACGATTCTTTAACAAGAACGTTTGGCCAGAAAGGCAGTGGAATAGCATCAGGTTTTGTCTCAGTAGTCAGTGACCAGAAATAAGTTCATAACTCAAACAGAAGGTCCTAGGTTTTATCCTCTGCCTGGGGGTGGCTGTCGGTGTGAATTGGTGAAGAGTCCTATACTAGGACGAAACGGCTTTCCGATGCTCTCCGGTTTTTAATGGCGGTCTACGAGCAGTTCATGATATAAAGTCCATGAAAATTGAAAATAGTTAACAATCAAGATGAGATTGTTAGGACAACTTCAAAATCTGGGGTTATTTATCTATATCCGTGTTATTTCGAAATGGAGTAAATTGCAGTGCCCCTATTAATTAGGTTTTTAGATGTAATTATTAATTATTAATTAAAGTATTACTTATAAAAACGTTTCAACAATGATCTTAAAGGTGAAAATTCAACACAGTGTGTGATTATCTTTCAGAAGAAATTGTAAATATTTCGGTTTCATAAATCCATTACACAATGACAAGCGAGAAAGCAGGTTTTTCTTACTTGGATCAGCATGAGAATCATCGCTAATAATTTTAGCCAATCCGAAATCTGAAACTTTAACTGAGTAATCTTGATCCACTAAGATATTAGCTGCACGTAAATCTCGGTGAACAGAATTCATTTCTTCCAAATACGACATACCACTAGCAATCTGTACGATTGAAATTCAAAAACAAAAAAGGTTAATCTGAATTTAATTTAATTAGAAAATGTAGTGAACATTAATGCACAGTCAACCAGTTGTAACGCAGAAACTGGTACCTGTATATATTGGTTCAAGTTGCGATACCTTATTAGCACAGCGATGAAATTGTCAGAGGGAATCCTAGAGTAGTACAGGTAGTAACAGGATTAACGGTAATAGAAAAGATTAAAAATTCATGACACAGTTCGAGAGGGAAATATAAATTAGTTAAATCATAAAATAAATTTATGAGAAACTTAGTATGTAGGGGAAAATAAGAGTAACTGCACCTGCGTCATCGCGAACGATTTTAAAATCTGTAACGATTGGTTATGATAATCACGTGGATCCTAACTGGGTAGTCTGCACCTACCTACATGGCTGAAACCAAATAGTTTGTGGATAGATGTCATGTCTTAGTTGGACCACCCTTAGCTTTCTTCCAACCTACTCTTACATCAGCCATATCGTGCATCAAAGTAGTTGGTGGATGAGCGTTTATAATACACGTCCTAACCATCTCAGTCAATAAAGATTAACCACGTTGTCAATTGATTTAGCATGCTTACGTCTAACCTTAAAATTGGTAATTCGATTGTACCAAAATATCCGAGCATTTAGTCAGTTGTCTACAACGTAGGACCAGGCACATATATGCATCGGTCTACGTCTCCACACCTCATTAGCACAGCAAGATGGACAACAAATTGATAGTAGTTACTTCAACGGTAGTAATATATAAAAGATTGTATACAAGGATATAGTACAGGAATGGCGCAGGTGCATACACTCTTTGTGTTATCCCAAATTTTGATCTCCTTATTCCTCCTTGTCTCTTTTTTTCTCTTCCCAAATTTATTTCACTGTATTATACTCTTTAAATAACATCTCCAAACACTAATTTTCCCGATTACTGCTTATACTCTTATTACCTCTACCACTACGGGATTTGAATCGACCACTACATCTGTGTGCTAATGTGGTGTGGCAACACGAACTGATGTACGTACGTACGAAGTTCTACGTTGTTACTGACTGACTGACTGAGTACAGGAAGAAATAATTAGTCCGTAGAATGAAAGACATAAGGCGATTTTAATCTCGCAGTTTAAGGGAAGACAAAGAGTGTATACACCTACGCCGTTGTTGTCGATTTCGAGCCATGTCATTCAGTCTCCAACCATTGGTTACGATAGTCATGTGGACCCCAACCAAGTAGTCTGCATCTACCAACATGGCTCATACTAGAAGTTAGTGACTTCAAAGACTGATGCCACGTTTTTGTTTGACCGCCCCTAACTTCCATCCGTCTGCAACACTAGTCAGCATTGCGCGTCGTGGTAATCGATGTTCAGGTATACGTAACACGTAGCCAAAACATCTCAGTCGATGAAGATTTACAACCTCAACAACTGGTTTACCATCAAAATAAATAAATATACGAGCAAGGCTCCGAAGACAACTGTAATCGAACACTAGTAACCTACGAATACCCCCTACTTTTAGAGGCCATGTTCTATATATGTGACTCAGTAAACAGCTATCAGCATGTATATTCGGGCTTTTTAGGGTAGACTATTGTCAGGTAAGGTTTACGTGGCAATACGCAGTTGTGCGAAACGAAAGTGGATCACATTTCGGTAACAAAAAAAACTGGATATATGTTCCGTGTTACTTGGCACTCGTCAGAAAGATGTACAAGTAATCTTGGTAGAGCTGGTGAACTTTGGGGCATCCAACTTATTTGAGCCACTGTTGACCTTCTTTAGGATTGAGATGTTCACAAATGATTGACTATTGAGTCGTGGCTAATGTTTCGTTTGTCAAGTCTTTAGTGATGATTAGTAGGTCAACCACGTAACATCTCAACATGTTCAGGTGATGATGAATCACTCAAACTAGTGGTCGAATCACAACTTCGTTGATAGATTCCAATCAGCACTAAGAAGTGATTGATAAACATGACATCAGCTAATACTTCGTGAATTGATTTAACTAATAAAATATAAGCTAATACATTAAATGTCAGTATAGTAATGCTTTGGGTTTTTTTTAGAAACAATAACAGTCGTAGGAAGGCACACAAAAAGAAATATAGATAACTAGTTGTAAATCAATCATCTATCAAATTAAAATAAACAAAATACTGTTACAGTTTCGTCCCAAGAAAGCAAACAAAATTGTATCTATTTATTACACTATATATAATAAGTTAAATTCACCAAACACCAAAGAATTAGTATGTTTCCAATGAGCATCCAAAGCTAAAGTGAAGTGAAGGGAGAACACTTCAAAGATTAATATTTTTCGGCTATTTTTGAGTGATATAAAATACACGATTCGTATTTTGTCGTAAAGCGAAATATTGATAGATTATTATGATAGGAAAAAACCTTCAAATTGAGTAATCTATTCTGACATCGTTATACCTAGGATAAATTAACACAAAAAATGTAACATGCTATCTTCCTTATTATTCCTTTTTCATATTATTTTAATTTCATAAATTACAATACATCGTCCCGTGGAATACATTGATTAATGTCAAATAAATATAATAAGACAGACAATTTGACTTTATCACTGTGCAATAATCCTAAAATAACAGACCGTACGTTAAATTCATTGCAGTAGTCTTGAGCGCTATTAGAGATATGAGGGCTGTTATCACTTCCCGGTTGCCCACACCGTGGAAGGCTTTTCCTAGAGGTACGTGAAAAGGGAATTGGGTTAGTTGGTCTTAGTGACCTGAGTGTGTGACCGCAGTGTCTAAGGAACAACAGCCTGAGGCCGGTCACACACGACCTTTTTGTGAGTAACTGTTGTGTTGGCTCCGTACTTGTTGAGACCTTATCGCCGGAGACGGAAATCCGTGGGATAAGGCGAGGTGTGCATTTTTAGGGTCGATATTTTCTAACCCCATCCTTCGTTTGTTGGAAGAAAGTGTCGCTGTTATGTTGGTTGTCTGAAGGAAACACCTTATTGCCGTCACACCTCTGTACAGTCAGCAGTACGACTTCGCCCTCGGACCTTGGGTTCAGTGTACAACGGTCACTGATAATACTACCGAACGTAAATATGATAAGTTTGTATTCTCGAATAGAAAAATATTATATATGTGATTTATTTGCCAAATGACAAGTACATGTTTATCTAATGAGTCACACCTTGTATGAGGTCTATTTATACTAAGTGGGGGTTGGAATATCAGAGATATTGGTTAGAAGTTGAATGCACTAACCACTAAGTCATTACTCTACACAAGTATTAAATAAGTTTTCCATAGGTTTTCCATGGTGGTCTAGCTTGAATCGACTCATGATTTCAACCTGTGAAATTTCTAAAACTCTCCACAAAATCCATTCTGATAATAATCAACTGCTCACTAGTGAATGACTTCAGGAAAAACTCCTGGAGTTCTAGTGAGAAGCCGTTACCAGTGGAGTTCAACCAGGTCTGTTGTGAGATATCAACTCACTGAAGACAATGGTGTACGGTGGCGCAACTTCGTGGATTGGTTGAAGTTAGACATTAACACGGTTGGATGCCGACTCAGTGTTCTAATTATTAGGTGATCGCGCGCGACACTGATAGGTCCTGGGTTCGAATGTCTCGAGAGGTGGGATCGTGGATGCGCACTGCTGAGGAGTCCCATACTAGGACGAAACGGCCGTCTAGTGCTTCCAGGTTTTCCATGGTGGTCTAGCTTCAATCGACTCATGATTTCAACCTGTGAAATTTATTAAATAAGTATCAGAAATGCAACCCGAGATTTATTATGTTGAAGTTGAAGAATCAACATCTAGATTGTTTCTGAACACTAATCTATGAAATCTTCACCAGTAAGTGACATCTAATTTTTCAACATATCACTATCTTTTTTGTCAGTTTAATTATTGTGCCAATTAGCCTCATCATTTTTTACAGATACAACAAGGACGGCAAGCTAGTAAACAAAAACAAACAATATATCATAATTTAGCTTCTGAAGATGGTAAACACTTAACTTAATCAAAGCGAAAACTAGTTGTACAAATAACTTAAAATAGTAACAAAAATGTACACACACCTGTGCCATTATATCAATTAAATCATCCAAAGTCAATTTATGTCCTTCTTCTGTACGTAAAAAATCATATAAAGCTCCTTTGCGCATTAATTCAGTAATAATATAAACTGGTTGGTCTTCCGGTTCAGTACATACGCCCAAAAGTTGAACAATACGTGGATGATGAAAAGCATGCATAAGGCGTGCTTCTTCAATAAATCGACTACGATCTGTAGGATCGAGTCTCATTTTAACTGCTACTTCGACTGAACCATTCCATTTAGCTAAATAGACTTCTCCAAATGTACCTTGACCCAACTTTCGAATTCTTGTTATGCTATCACGATTAATTTCAAAATCACGAAATTGCACGGGTGGACGATATGCACGTGGGCATGGGATAGACAATCGACAGCATAAACCATCTGGGTGTACTGTAAAACAAAATATTCGCGCCATATTTAAGTGAATGAGAAAAATATTTTAAAATCTGATAAGTAATGATTATGAAAATAAGTTAAAAAGAGAAATCTCTTTCCCCAAAATGTCAATTATACTTTAGTGTTTGGAACAAATTTACAATGTAGTGACGTTTTATTTAAGCTTTATTCATTCTATAAAACAAATAACCTAATCTAAACAAGACCGTTTTATCACGTTACTTCATTCACCAGAATGTAGCTAAACGGATTACCATAGGCAGGTTGAACTAAACTGTCACATTTTGTTATTTTACTTACCAATTTCATCTCTTTGTGCTAATTTGGTATTACAACTTGGGCTGATGGATATTGCTGCCGGTTCTTAGACTGATGATAACGGACCGACTGACTATTATCAATCATCAGCATCATTTTTTCAGAGGTAATTATTTACCTCAAGATGGAAGTGAATGGATTATTTGGTACAAAGGTACTTCTACACAGTGAAGCTTACTGTTTTGCAGAAACCACTCAGTTACTGAATAAGATGGAAATAAAAAACTCTGATGTTTGTTTCCATATAACATTATTCCAAATCAAATAAGCTTGAAAATAAATAAATCACTCTTGTGTGAGAGTGAATTTTTCACAAGATGCTGATCAAAACAATTTTCGAATTATATATGAGAAAACAATGACATCTAGTGAATTAATAATATTATCCATCATAAAAACTATAGCCAAATTAAGAGCTCTATAGAAATGTGAGGATGAAGTAATTTCCTGAATAATATAATCTTACTTGCGCCTGTTACTCCTCTTGGAGGAGCATAGGCCTCTCACCAGCATTCTTAATCCAACCCTGTCCTGGGACATCCCTTTTCCGGCTCTTTACATTTGTTATTCATCTTTTTCATATCTGATTGTATTTCCCGACGTAATGTGTTCTTTGGCCTTCCACTTTTCCACTTCTCTTCACTATTTCAAGTCAGCGCTTGTCTCGTGATGCAGTTTGATGGTTTCCTCAATGAGTGTACTATCCATTTCCATCGTCTTTTCCTAATTTCCTCCTCAGCTGGAAGCTGACTTGTTCTCTTCCACAGAAGGCTCCTGCTGATGATATCCGGCCGACGGACATTGAGTATCTTACACAGACAATTGTTTATAATGGTTGTGGTAGTTCACCAAGTTTCAGCTCCATACATTAGAACAGTCTTGACGTTCGTATTGAGGATTCTAACTTTGATATTGGTTGACAGTTGTTTTGAGTTCCATATGTTCTTCCACTGTGGGAATGCTGTTCATGCTTTGTCGATCCTCACATTTACGTCTGCATCTGATTCTCCTTGTTTATCGATGATGCAGTTCAGGTACGTGTAGCTTTGTGTATACGTTTGTGTAGAAATATTGTTCCGCTTATGACCAATTTGTTGAATGCACACAGCTTTGCAAATCTTTCCTAATTTTCGTTTCTCTCTACCAGTCCATGTCGTCCCATGATATCTTTGGCGTTTAGATCTCACATCAGGATGGTCAGGTCCTTCCCTGGGCACCTCGCTGTGATCGATTGCAGCCTATCGTAAAGCTGATCTTTATCTACGTCATCGCTATCATTGGTGGGTGCATAACATTCGATAACATTAACTGTAATCCCCTCCTTCTTTGATGATTCTGGATCCATGAGATTCCCATCCCATAAGTGCATTCCGTGCTATTTTGGACAGCATTAGAACAACTCCCTGAGTGTGTGGAGCATCTTCCTTTTCGTGACCGGAGTATAGCAGCGTCTCTCCCGTATCTAGCCTTTTTTATCCAGCTTGGGTCCAATGGGTTTCGCTGATTCACAGTACTGCCAAGTTGTATCTCCTCATTTCCGTTGCTAGTTGACTGGTCTTCCCAGTCTCCCACATTGTCCGGACGTTCCATGTACCCATAAAAATTGTTGCTTAGGTTGTTAGAAGGGGCATCGGCTTTGTGACTTCCAAAGGAACTAGGCTTTCACCATGAGGCGTCATAGTTGTTCTAAATGAAGACATTCTGAATCCCAGGGCAGAGTTTAAATGGTTTGAATTGTTTTTTCCTGGTTAGCGTTTTTTTAGAGAGTGTTTTCTACGGGATGGGGTCCCTAACCCCACACCCAACCCTCCTTCTCTACTCAGGCTTAGGACCTACAGTAAATGTAGAAGAGCTACAGGCGGAATGTGATTGATAACAGCTTACATAGTTTTGATAAGACTTTCTGCTTAACCATTGGAACAAAGATGTCTGGAAGCAGTGAATAAATGTTTGTACTTAGTAATTGAAGAAGTCATGAAAAATACCTTAGGCCACGTTAAGTATATCGGTTGATAAATTGATTCCTACTGGTGACCAATAAAAGTGATTGACATCAGTTGAACAAGAACAGAGAAAGTCAATTAACAAGATAAATACACACAAATAAACGAGAAAGTGAAGAGGATCATTAGAGTCGATAATTAGCAATGCGTGGAAGAGCAACGACAACGGAAAAAGATGCAAGAAAAGGAGATATAAAACGACTATATGATACGACGAAGAAACTGGCAGGGAAATATAATAAGCCAGAATGACCAGTCACGGACAAAGAAGGCAAGTCAATCACTGAAATTCAAAAACAGCGGAAGAGGTGGATAGAACACTTCGAGGAACTCTTAAATAGACCAGCCTCACTGAATTCATCATATATCGAAGCAACGGATATCATACCTGTATGGAAAGATATTTCTTTTGTATATTATTTATCTAGTTCCAATACACCATCTTCATGTGTGTTTACAGTCTTCTTTTTGTCTTAGACAAATAGTTCATTAGTAGCTACTAGAATACGCTTTAGACAGATCCAGGAATTTCTATATCGTACAGTTCATTTAACACCACTGCTAATTCTACAATGTCGATTTTATTTCAGGCTCATTGAAAAATATAAAGCTATAGACATGAATTAAACTGTTTTGCTAAAAATCATTACTGATGACTCGACTATTTTTGGCAAGAGTGATTTTTGATGCTATAAATAGTGGTATGGATGATTTTATAGATTTATCACCTTGATATTGATCACAGTATTATGAAAAATAGTTTCCATACCGAATATTTGAATATTTATGAGAGTTATTATTTTGGTTTGTATAAATGAATTATTAAAGCTCTTAAGAATTAAGTGAATCGACTCAGATTGCAGTAGTTTAAAGTTATGATTGAAAAAACTAGTCATTGTCGCCAGAAAATAATGTACAACCATAGAACGTTACAGTGAAACCTACATTGAACATAATATCCAGCCATTTGGTAGATTTGTTTCTAGTCTGGAGACAAACTGATGTTAGGGGATTTTGATGACAAGAATGTGTATGAGAGGTTTCGAGAGAGAAAACAACAAGGAAAATCATAATTCAAAGACTCACCAGTCAGATAAGCCAAAAATTTGATCTAAAAATGAATGTAGGCATCCTAATTCTTCTGAACGATCCTTTAGCTCCCAGGATAGTTTAAATGGTTTAAATTGTTTATTCTGGTTAGCGTTTTTAGCTAGGTTGTTTTCTACGAGATGGGGTTGCTGACCCCACGCCCAACCCTTCCTCTTTACCCGGGTTTGTGACTCTAGAAGAGCTACAGGCGGAGTTTGAATGATGTAATGGTTACAAGAAATTATAAAAATAAAATTATGTGGAATATCTAACATTATACCTGTATAATAATTTATGAGGTCCTGAATATTCGGGAAGGTCGTGCGAATACTAATAAAGAAGCCACCGTTATTATCAAGGATCCGAATGCGATAGTGTTTTACAACCCACATATTTTTTTCGGAGTCATAATGTCGAACAGAGAGTGCATAATTCTGGGTTTCTAGATAAAAATAAAAAACTGAAACATGATGATCATACAGAAAAGAGAGCAACAATATTACCTCTTTAACATGAATATAAATTACATCCATAAAATAAGGATAATTCAGTGACATGTTAAGAGATTGTTTTTTTAATATGTAATTGCGTAATACGGACGATGGTAGCAACAATGTCTTTTACCCTAGCTATTTGTATTATCAGGTGACGAAACAAGACATACGCGAACCCTATCACTTTACTTAAGTTTGAAAATACATGAGTACACAGATAGATATAACGTAGTACTCAAGTTACTACACTTCAGAAATTAAGAGATTCTATCAAGCAGCGCAAAATAAGGATAAGCATTACGGAAATTAAAGGCGAAAGAAAATAGTGAAAGCGTAAGACAGAGTATATAATATGTTAAAAGCCTCAGTCAGTCAGTAACAACGTAGAACTTCGTACGCACGTACGACCAACTACAGAGTACACTAAATAAAATCCAAAACCATAAGTCAAATTTGAACCGCTTATTCTGATTGCTATTCTTTAATTACCACAAACACATGTTGAAAGAACGTGTGAAATTCATCCCTGGTCACTGTTCTAGTCTACTATTGTGACAGCCAGCATATGAGTGACTGGAGAAGTCTAATATGTTACAATTCATGAATGTCCATAAATTTACCAATATACAAATATTCGAGAGGAATTCGCCAGATACACATATATTAAGCGTTGCATGGCGAGAATTCTGGAGATAATCAAAGATTGAGGATGTGAAATGACAGATGTAGATACTTAAGGCCTAAGGAATATAGATTCCTTATTGAATGTAAATTATCATTTTGGTTTTATAAGACAATATGACGGCTTTTGCTATGGCCATTCGAGTCTTTTCTTTATTCAAACACACAAACATTGTCGCAATGGGCCATCAAATGCATATGAGCCACACAATGAGGTTCTAAGGAGATAGAGAATGGAGGATGGGCTTAATAAAAGAAGAGCAGCAATCAACAAAAAATAGCGTATGAGAGTGAAATAATAATATTAATAATGGGAAAAGCAGTTCAGGCAAGATATATACAACCCGAAAAAATTCGTTCAGTTAGGGAAATTACGTTTACTTTAATGAAGTAAAAGAAACATACTACAGGATTGCCACTGGCTTCTATTCTGAGTCATGTCTGATAACGTCTCAAGCCAATGTGTTGCACCATATGTAGGACCCCAACCTGGGGGTCGCGAAGGTCCAACAGAAGCCAGTCCTGCACAGCTTTCATTTATACCACGACATCAAGTCGTGCAACGACTACCTCTCTGCTTTTCCAACCGGTCACAAGGACGGCAAATGGTGCGCAATGTCGAGTTCCTAATGCATGTCTAAGCCACCCTTCATACAAACGAAGGATGGGGTTAGAAAATATCGACCCTAAAAATGCACACCTCGCCTTATCCCACGGATTTCCGTCTCCGGCGATAAGGTCTCAACAAGTACGGAGCCAACACAACAGTTACTCACAAAAAGGTCGTGTGTGACCGGCCTCAGGCTGTTGTTCCTTAGACACTGCGGTCACACACTCAGGTCACTAAGACCAACTAACCCAATTCCCTTTTCACGTACCTCTAGGAAAAGCCTTCCACGGTGTGGGCAACCGGGAAGTGATAACCGCCCTCATACCTCTAATAGCACTCAAGATCACTGTTTTCATAATCGATTTCCCTCTTTAATTCCTATTATTTCTCTTACCTTTACTTTCAACTCGAAACCTCCTTCTCAAGTGTCACCATGACCAAAGATTCTAGTGCGCGAAACACTGTCTCAAGTCTAATGAAACCTCGCTCTAAACTACACGTTGGAGCCTTTAACGTACGTCCCTTGTGTGAAATCGGCCAGAAGGTCTCCTTGGCTAAAAACCTAGAATCTCGTACCATTGATGTATGCTGTGTCTTCAAAACATGCATACAGGGTCCTAGTGTGATCACTTACTTGACCTCACCTCGCCCAAACGGAGCCGACGAGATACACCCTCCGTTTATCTAGCGACTCGATGGCTAGCTCTCGTGAACTGGCGGGTGTAGGCATAGCACTGAGTGCGAGGGTAGAAGAAATACTTTCAGATTGGATCCCTGGATCTGATTAAACAACCCCATAGTGTTATAACTCTGTTTCTTCTTACGGTTAATGACCCAGCTATTCCTATTGCTTAGTATTCTCGGACACCGATTCACTCGACAAGTCCCCAAATCAAAACACGGTTGAACAGGAAAAAAAGATTATATTCCAAATAGCAAGTCTGAAGCACAATAGGGGAAAACGTCAGTATATTTATAGTTTTTTACATAAGAAGATTCCAGAGTAATCTCCGACTATCGACTAGTGCTGATTGGATAAGAATCAGCCAATCAGCGTGCACCAAAACAATCATGCATTGAGCATGCTTTAATCTAGTCTATGTCCCACTAACACCTCCCCTCTGAGCAGATTCGTAGGATCTGGTGCTAGGGTCCAACTGCAACCGAGTGACTGGCCTGTGCTTTCGATTAGTCCATCGTCTAGGCAATAAAGAAGTATCACTCTTTTCTTGCACAGAAACTGGTGTGTCTATTCCCGGCGTTTTGATTTCAAAGGTGTCTAGCAGAACATCAAGAGGTAATCGATATTGAATCTTGTTGCTGGCTATCGAAGTTGCTTTCAATTGGTTAGCATGACGTACCCAAACTTCCGAGCCAACTGACACCTCGTAAACCACATTCCCCTTCTTTTTCAAGATCCGACCAGCTGTCCATGTAGGATGTTTCCCACGATAGTCCATAGCAAGCACTTTTTGTCCCACCGTGAACAATCGTCTTTGTGCCCCATGATGTCGGTTAAACTGATTCTCCATCGATAGGTTTCGTTGGGGTTCAATAGCTGGCGTAGGACGGATGACATCGAAATGTGTACGTATCTTTCTGCCAAGTAGAGCTTCTGCTGGAGAGAGCCCGTTAATTGTCTGAGGGTTCGGTGTAGAACGATAAATAAACAGGAACCTCTCTAAGATATCTTCAGTGGTCCCTTCCCCTTTGGATTTTTTTAGAGCACTTTTAAATGTACTCACAAAGCGTTCCACTTGGCCATTTGATTGGGGATGGTATGGAGGTGTTCGGAGGTGCTGGATTCCGTTCTGCCGACAAAATTGTGAGATTTCGGACGTAAACTGTGTTCCGTTGTCACTAACTATCAATTCCGGGATTCCAAAACGACTGAATAGTTGACGTAGTTTACTGACTGTGCAGCTTGCAGTCGGGTGTTCCATGAGAAAAATTTCTGGCCACTTGCTATATGCATCAACCACCAAAAGGTAAGTTTGTCCATGAAGTGGACCAGCAAAGTCCAAATGTATACGCTGCCACGGTGACTGTGGTATTGGCCATGATTGCAGCTCTGCTTTTCGCGGTGCTTTTGTTGCTAATGCACATTTGGTACACGAACGGGATAGCTGCTCCAATTGGGTGTCTAAATGCGGCCAGTATACATAACTTCGTGCTAGTGCTTTCATGCGATTTATTCCAGGATGTCCTGCATGCAATTGTTCAAGCACTGCTGGTTGTAGCTTCTTGGGAATTATGACACGTTCGGCAAACAGCAGACAGTCATCGATGATTGAGAGTCTTCGCTGGTAAAACTGTTGAAGGTCTGTGGAATAGATTTTCGAGGGCCACCCTTCTAGGTGGAACTTTCTAACTTCTTGTAGTGTTGGGTCTCGAAGCGTTTCTTCCCTGACTTCATCTGACGACACTGGAGTGTTTCAAATGGCATCTGCCACTATACTTCGTATTTCTGGGTCTACTGCTGTGGAGGCAATGATTATATCCTCTGGTCCAGGATGTTGAACTCCAATTAATCGGGAGAGAGCGTCAGTTTGACCGATAGTATTTGTCGACTGATACTTGATATTAAAATCATAACTCAGGAGCATTGTTGCCCAGCGCTGTAGTCTATTAGCCGTATAGACAGGGATTCCTTTCTTAGAACCAAAGATTGCAATCAAAGGTTTGTGATCTGTCAGTAGAGTAAATGTACGACCATAGAGCATTTTTATGAAATCTTTTGACTGCGAAAATGATTGCAAGAGCTTCCTTTTCAATTTGGCTGTAGTTTCGCTCGGCTGGAGTAAGTGATCTAGCAGCATGGGCGATTGTCTTCTCTGATTTATCCGGAAACACGTGAGATATCACTGCTCCAACTCCATGACTAGAGGCATCAGATGCAACAACAATTTCCAAGCTGGGATCGAAGTGCGTCAAAAGAATCTTTGAGCTGAGCATTGATTTGACTCTGTCAAAAGATGCTTGACATTCTGCTGACCACTGCCAAGGTTTATCTTTCGATAGTAATTCATTTAGGGGACCTCTCACTCGGTGCATTTCAGGCAAGAATGTGCTGTAATGACTGATTAACCCCAAGAAGGATCTTAATGAAGAAACATCAGTTGGTGCAGGCATCTTCTGGATGGCTTCGATGTTGGCAGGGTCTGGTCGGCGACCGTTCTTATCTAAGATAAAACCAAGGTATTTGATCGAATGCATGAAGAAGATACATTTTTCCTCACGTAGTTGGAAACCATACTCCAACACTCGGTTAAGGACTTGGTGTAGTCGCTCAGAAAGTTCACTGTCAGTTGAACCCATAACTATGATATCATCTAGATAAGCTGCTGTACCAGGTATACCTGTTAGCATCGTATCCATTATTTGCTGAAAGATGGCGGGTGCGGTCTTGATGCCAAATGGTAAACGGGTGTATTGAAATAACCCTCGATGAGTGTTAATGGTCAGAAGCTCTCTACTATCTTCATCTACTTCCACTTGGAGATAAGCATCGGAGAAGTCTATTTTCGCGAAACATGTCCCACCATTAAGCTTGGCAAACAGGTCTTCCGGAACTGGTAAGGGATATTGATATACATCTAATGCAGCATTTAAACCGGTCGAGAAATCGGCACATATGCGTATAGTCCCATTGGCCTTCTTAATCACTACAATCGGTGCGGCCCATGCAGAGTAGTTAACTGGTCGGATTACACCAGCCTGCTGCAGGCGATTAAGTTCCTGGTCGACTAGCTCAAGAGCAGCATATGGTACAGGACGTCTCGGGCGAAAAATAGGTATGGCATCTGGTTTCACTGGTAAGTGCACTTTCATCTTGGTACAGTGGCCAAGGCTATTCTGAAAAACAGAGGCAAACTTTCTTTTCAGTTTATCTAGTAACCGTTCACCTGTCTTCTTTGGAAGTAATTGGGTGTCCAATGATGAACACGATACGTTACAGACACTGTTAATTAGTATATCCATTATTCCAAGTTTGTCTAGCATATCTAGACCAAGAAGATCAAGGTTTGGCCGTTCTGTTAGGTAACATATTCCTGTACAGTTAGTTCCATTGAAGGAAAATTCACACTGTAATTCACCAACCAGTTTTAGCACACCACCTGATGCGTTTTTAGCCGTTTTCTTAGATGGCTTCATTGGCGGTTTACCCAGCAATTTATACGTTTCTCTAGACACTAACGTGATATCTGATGCCGTGTCAATTTGAAGACGAGCTGATATGCCGTTTATCTGGATGGTAACATACTTTCTCCGAATGTCATAGTTTGTTTGAAAAGCAGCTACCAGAGAAAGAGATTTAGACTCGGCTGATTTCACATGTCGAGGACGTTTATGCCTCTTCTTAGGGTCTGGCTCTTGATCATTTCGTATTGCCACAACTTTATGAGCATTCAGCACAGTATTTTCTTGCTGTGAGCCGGACACGTTACAAATATTACGTTCTGATTCAGGTATAAAGGGATTTGAACCCTCCACTAGATATGCTTCTGAAATGTCTGTTACTGCATCATAAACAGATTTCTTATTTTCTGGTCGAGTGAAAAGTGTGTTCAATAGTTGTTGTTGCAAGGCTAACAACTTCTGCTGGTGCTGTAATATTAACCGCAACTGTTCTAAAGAAATCGCCATTTTTCTTTAGTTTTTCCCCGTCGCCACTGTTATAACTCTATTTCTTCTTACGGTTAATGACCCAGCTATTCCTATTGCTTAGTATTCTCGGACACCGATTCACTCGACAAGTCCCCAAATCAAAACACGGTTGAACAGGAAAAAAAGATTATATTCCAAATAGCAAGTCAGAATCACAATAGGGGAAAACGTCGGTATATTTATAGTTTTTTACATAAGAAGATTCCAGAGTAATCTCCGACTATCGACTAGTGCTGATTGGATAAGAATCAGCCAATCAGCGTGCACCAAAACAATCATGCATTGAGCATGCTTTAATCTAGTCTATGTCCCGCTAACGCGTAGGAACTCAAAAGGATAGGGATAAACGTAGTTGCTTTTTCGTCATTTCTGCCTACGCTCCCACTGAATGAAGTGGAAGATGAATTTCATAGAGGGCTTTCTGAACTTCTTCAAAAACCTAAACACTCAGTCATAGTACTCGAAGCAGGGGACTTTAACACCCAGGTAGGTAGCTTAAAACAAGCAGAAAGACATTGAGGTGGGTATTTTGGTATTCCGGCTCAACGAACAGATAATGGTAACCGTCTGCTGCAACTGTGCTCAGACAATCGTTTATTTTTAGCAAGCACTAAGTTTAAACATAAGGAGAGACATCGTCTAACATGGCGATCCACTACACCAAACCAACGATGGACTCAAATAGACCATATTGCCATCGGTCATAGTTGGAGAGGCTCGGTAGAAGCATGTCGCTCGTTCTGGAATACATGTTTGGACTCTGATCATGTTCTAATACGAGCAACTATTTGCTTGCGCCTCACTGGACGCAGAAAGACTACATTAAGAAGACCCATTTGAGTTGAACTTAGCGATGAGAAAGTCAAAGGTAGATTCCAGGAACAACTGAAATTACACTTAGGCAATTTCGAAAACAAGGCTGACCCAGGTACTCTTATTGCTTAGTATTTTCGGACACTACTTCACTCGACCAGCCCCCAAATCAGAACACGGTTGGACAGGAACGTATTTACATTTCAAATAAAAAGGTTGGGTGGAAGTAGTAATCACAATAAGAAAAGCGTTGGTATATTCATAATTTCTACATAAGACTCTAGTCTTCACCGAATTTCCGCTAGCACTAACTGGTTAGAAAATAACCAATCAGCGTACCCCATCACAATCCTGTACGTGGCATGCTTTAATCCAATCTATATCCCGCTAACAGAAAGATATACGAACAGCTATAGAAACAACAGCGATATCTATTGGTCATTTGAACCAAAGGGTCACGAAAAACCAGTGGACTTATGATGTCTTGCACGGATAGATTGTCATAAACTCATCCTGTTAGGTTTCGAACACGATGACGAGCGAAAACAAATGAAATCTAGGTTAACCAAAATCCTTTGGAACCATCGTGAGCAGTAGTAGGTAATGAAAGTAAAATAGATAGATTGTAAACACAAGAAAATCAGGCTGGCTTCAGACATAGTGATGGCTGCACCAACCACATTCAACATTCGTCAGGCTTTAGAACATAGATATACTTATCGGCGTCCGACAATGATAGTTTTCCTTGACTTGGAAGCGGCATTTGATTTTGTAGACCAATAGGTTCTGCGGCAGTGTCTGTCATTGAAAGGTGTACCTCAAAAGTACATAACCTTGTGAAAGCTCTTTATTCGAACTCTACTAGCCGAGTCAGAGCTTATGGTGAACTGTCATCTGATTTTGCAACTTCGAGTGGTGTCCATTAATGTTATCCATTATCTACATTTTTGTTCAAATTCATCATAGACCTACTGATAAAAATAACGTTCCCGTTGTCTAAATATTTGGGAATCGATTTACCAAGAGGCCCACTTACTGACTTAGAATACGTAGATGACATAGTCCTGTTTCATGAAGATGCTGATAAAATGCAGTCGTTTGGTAGCATTCAGCAACAATGCTAGGATGTTTAGGATGCAAATTGTTGCTTAACGACTGGCCTGAGTCAACGCCTGAACTAAGGATAGGGATAGGGGTAATCGAACGCGTCGATAAGTTGACTTATCTTGAAAGTCTGGTCAGCCCAAATGGTTTGGTGTCTGACGAAATTTCTGCACGGATTCCAAAATCTCGTTTGGCTTTTACCAACTTACGTCACCTATAGCGAAGGTGAAATACCAGTCTATCAATTAAAAGAACAAGTACACTAAGTAGCAGTTCGTTCTGCTTTACTTTAGGGCTGCAAACTGTGGCCATTAAGGGTAGACGATACTCGTAAGTTACTATTATTTATTTATTTAAACATTGGCACAATGAAGCACCTGCCAAGGTTGAAATGGACATCACCGGATATGAAGACATCATGGGACGACACGGGCTGGGAGAAAGGAACGAAAATGGTGAGAGATTTGCAAACCTATGTGCCTTCAATAAGCTGGTCATAGGCGGAACTATATTCCCACATAAGCGCATTCACAAAATCACATGGACTTCACCGGGTCACACCACGCAAAACCAAATCGACCATATCTGCATCAAAAAAAGCTCAGGAGGACGATGGAAGACGTGAGAACCAAGAGAGGAGCTGATATAGCATCAGATCATCACTTGTTGGTCGTCAAGATGAAATTGAAACTCAAGCAGTACTGGACAACGGAGCGGACAATATCACAAAAGTTCGATACGGCCTTTCTTCGGGATACTGACAAACTCAACGAATTCAAGATAGTCCTCAGCAATAAGTTCCAGGCCTTTCATGATCTACTCAATGGAGAAGGAACTACTATGGAGGGCAACTGGAAAAGGGTCAAAAAAGCAATCACTTCAACATGCCATGAGGTTCTGCGCCACAAGAAGCAGCATCACAAGGAATAGATCACTGTTGATACACTGGATAAGATTCAGGAAAGGAGGAACAAGAAAGCAGCAATCAATACCAGCCGAACAAGAGCAGAAAAAGCCAAGGCACAAGCTGAATACACAGAAGTAAACAAGCAAGTGAAGAGGAGCATCAGAACTGACAAACGTAAATATGTGGAAGATTTAGCAACGACGGCAGAAAAAGCTGCAAGAGAAGGAAACATGAGACAACTGTATGACACGACAAAAAAACTCTCTGGAAATCAACGTAAACCGGAGCGACCAGTGAAAAGCAAGGAAGGCAAGGTAATCACCAGCATTGAAGAACAACGAAACAGGTGGGTAGAACACTTCAAAGAACTCTTGAATCGACCAGCCCCACCGAACCCACCCCAATATCCAAGCAGCACCCACAGACCTCCCAATCAATGTTGGTCCACAAACAATTGAAGAAATCAGCATGGTCACCAGACAAATCAAGAGTGGCAAAGCAGCAGGACCGGACAACATTCCAGCAGAGGCACTGAAAGCAGACGTAGCGGCAACTGCAAGGATACTCCACATTCTCTTCAGCAAGATTTGGGATGAGGAACAAGTACTAACAGACTAGAAAGAATACCTGATCAAGACACCAAAGAAGGGCGTTCTCAGCAAGTGTGATAACTACAGAGTCATCACTCCTCTCTCAATACCAGGAAAAGTCTTCAACATAGTACTGTTAAGCAAAATGAAGGACTCCGTAGACACCCAAGTTCGTGACAAACAGGCTGGATTCCATAAGGACCAATCGTGTACAGACCCAATCGCAACTCTACGGATCATTGTGGAACAATCAATTGAATGGAATTCATCACTCTACATCAACTTCATTGACTACAAAAAAGCATTTGATAGCGTGGACAGAACAACACTATGGAAGCTTCTTCGATACCACGGCGTGCCTCAGAAGATAGTCAATATCATACGGAATCCCTATGATGGATTAAACTGCAAAATTGTGCATGGAGGACAATTGACAGACTCGTTCGAGGTAAAGACCGGTGTCAGGCAAGGTTGCTTACTCTCACCCTTTCTCTTTCTCCTGGTGATCGACTGGATCATGAAGACGTCAACATCTGAAGGGAAACGCGGGATACAGTGGACATCTAGGATGCAGCTGGACGATCTAGACTTCGCAGATGATCTGGCCCTCCTATCGCAATCGCAACAACAAATGCAGGAGAAAACGACCAGTGTAGCAGCAGCCTCAGTAGCAGTAGATCTCAATATACACAAAGGGAAAAGCAAGATTCTCCGATACAACACAGCATGCACCAATCCAGTCACAATTGACGGAGAAGATTTGGAAGATGTAAAAACTATCAACAAAAACCTGCTATGGGAGAGAATAAACCGGATCCCAGCGGAGGAAGAAATTAGGAAGAAGCGCTGGAAGTGGATAGGACACACATTGAGGAAAGCACCCAACTGCGTCACAAGACAAGCCCTCACATGGAATCCTCAAGGCCAAAGGAAAAGAGGAAGACCAAAGAACACGTTACGCTGGGAAATGGAGATAGACATGAGAAAAATGAACAAGAATTAGATGGAATTAGAAAGGAAGGCCCAAGACAGAGTGGGTTGGAGAATGCTGGTCGGCGGCCTATGCTCCATTAGGAGTAACAGGCGTAAGTAAGTAACAATGAAGCACCAAATACATATGCGCCCAACTTCGTCATTCGATATGTATGAGGGCCAGAATACTGCTGGGACGCCCAAACCGAAGCAGTTGTCTTTCCTAGGAGGCCACTCCCCGAATTTTTGACCTAGAGGTCTAGTCCAAAAAGCAGAGAAGCAACGTTAGGCGATACACTCTCTTGGTAGAGTGACCAACAATAGGTTCATACACCATTTGTCCCCTCGAGATCCTGGAGCCCATGTGCACCATCGGTTTGGAATTGGGGTATTCCAACTCCCGTAAGTGGATCCTTCATATCCACTAACCCGGATACAGCGCCAGGCGTTCATTTTCGTTCTCTCAATTTCATAAACAACACCCACTGCGAGAAGGCAGTGAGTAGGACTCCCTTGTCAGTCGCTATATACGCGTGATGATATGAGAGCATTTCGAGAAGAGCTGACTGTCTTACGCCCTTTGCCGTACCAGGGCATTTGGGTGATCAAACGGAGACCAAGACAAAACACTAAAAGCTGAAACTCGAAATAAATAGCTCTCGAATTCGGTAAACCTTTAAGTCAACTGGTTTCATGTGTAAAACCTCAACTACTGTTAGCTATCGTTGGGGTTAATTTGGGGAGGTGAAGTAATCAGTCTACGATGTCTTTTTTACTCAATTAGGTTACAGATATGGTCTTTAGCCTGAAGAATCTCTTGCCAACGCAGATAGCGGTGACTAACAACGTAGGACATGGGACGAGTATGGAATGTCACAAGTTGCCACGCTTCACATCAACAGACCTAAAGGAAGTGAACTGGATCAAAAGTACATAACCAGATGGTATAGTTCTCTTTCGTGAAGATGAGGACTAAATTAAACTATTTGAATAACAGCAGAACTGCTTGGGATATTTTACGTCTTTCAAATGCAAAACGGTGCTTTGTAATTGACCTGTGCTAATGCTTAAGCTGACTATAGCAAACATTGCTAAGCACGTCGACTGCTTTATATGTCTTGAGAGTTTCCTTATACATACACCTTTAGTCGCAGCGGGGATGTCATTCCTATCATAAAGCCCAGGAACTTGGTTTATATGATCTTTGAGAGTACAAAGCATGCATAAGTTACATGCAATTGATTATAGGTGTCTGAAGCATTGTTCGGGCATGCTAGGGTCACTAGGAGCGATTCTGACATTAGATGTATGATACCAGGTAGATTGTAGTGATCGGACTCAAGCATCAAAAAAGACAAGGTTAAATTTTTAATTGTTAGAAGTCACGAAATTTTGTATCAGCCAATTGACAAGACGAAAAGAGAGGTTTATACAACATCGTCAATAAAAAAACAGGTTTAGGTACTAATCAAAGACGGATCATGACTAGCAGCTTATTCCAGGACGTGTGTTTCATCCCATTCGGAACTCCTCAGCTGGATGTACCTGCATCTAAGAGTTGATGTCCACTCTTGGACTCGAACCCAGTACCGTTCGCCTCAAACGCCATCGCGTTATCTAGCTGACGAGTCCCAAACAGGACAAATCGCGCATCCTGAGTCCCACTGCTAGCCATTATCCATCTTTGCTTAGAATGCTTGTGAATTAAGGCAATACGCACAGTATGCACATATGCCAATAAGTGACTGATCAATTGCAGTCCTGAACATCAATGGGGAGATCCAAGTAAACAATACCAAATGAATTTAGGCTTCAATACATTTTAAAAGAAAATATTTCCGACTTGGTAAGAAAAGAATGGAACAATACAAAGCTGGATATTTCGAGGTTAGAATCAATACATCAGCGTTTCAGAGGTCGTTGAATCATATCATCTAAGATATGCGACTATTGGCTACAATTAACTCGTGGGTCTTAAACCATCGTCTCTTCTAATTAAGAGATGACGCGAAACAGTTAACGTCTCGGCTTAAGAGTGTGATATCTTGGTTTGGTTGTTTTAAATCTATTGGCAAGATAGTCGCTTGGACACACTATGCATGGGCACGGTTACAAAGCGACCAGACACTTTCAAGTATCATTTATTTATTTGAACACACAAACATGGGTAAAAATGGGCACCGAATACATATGTGCCACACAAGTCACTTGATTTGTGTATCGTGGAAATATCCCAACGCAGTTTCAAAAAAATAATTGGTTACTTGCCGCATAAGATTAATTGTTTGTTGCTTTTATAATTGATCTACTATCAGTTTTATTTCTCAGCTTAAAATATCCACAAGATGTTGTCCCGTTTAGTAAAAATACTAGCAAAATGAAGTCGCCTGATCGCCCTGAGCAGTTGTAAAAGTATCTGAGATGGTTTACCCCAAACCGCGATCTTGTCCTAGGATCAGTCATTATCTACTCCGTCTAATAATGAGGGAATGAAGCAAATTAAACGAACAACCACTTCACTTGTCTCAGAATCTCGGTGAGATATATATCCAACGAAATCTTCGAATCGATTCTGGTCTTGCATTACTTTTGGAAAATTACGTTACTTATAGAGCCGACTGGATGTCCATTTGCTAATGAATTATATAATTAAGATGACAAGAAAGTTCACCGTGAATCGACTAGTGATAAACGTGGATATCTAGTTAGCGAACCATAATTTGATCCAAACAATGACTTTCGAGAAGTTACAAGTGTTATATACTCATTTCTCATATTATGTCTTATATAAAAACCACATAGATCTAACATTTTTAAAATGTGAGAACTAATTTAGGATGTCTCTCGTTTGAAGTGGTACAAGAATTACTGTTATACAAAGGTCAAATTTTCGGATAACTCACCTGAACTAGGTCTAATAAGGTATGTTCCTTTGGGGTTCCCCACTAGCAAAAGTTTTCGATCAGCTTCACGTCGACCTATATCATACCAGGCATCCAAGCTAGTTGGAAGTCCATCATTCAGACAGACGTAGTTACTGGGTATGTACCCACTCATTCCAGTGTCGGAATGTCTTGCAAACCACCATGCATCAGACATACCAGATATAACAAACATTATATCTCCTTTCTGGAACGAGAGGTCATCTTGGTTGTGGCCCTGATATGAATAAAGGGCGCGGACCTGTACCAAAGGTCTCGCTTGGACCCCAATTCCCCCCGGAGACACAGTAGATATTGCTGACGTTATTGCATTATTCTGACCAGCTACACAAGTCATATGCATATCAGCCACAACATTCCTCGAGACGGCAAGAGAATTTTTAGGACCGAGGTTGTACAGTGTCACTTGGTTGACGTTCGTTGGAGCGATGTCGGCAGTAGTTCCATTATTCGTAACTTCAAGCGTTTGGTGACAAAGGTACTTTGCCGCATTGTTTGCGGTCGTTGGAGTCGAACCTAGGTAATAATGCGAACCCCCGTCGTTCTGACTTTGTTTCGTACTCCTTTGAAGACACAAACAAATTCCCATTATAAGAGGTAATTACTATTTTTCGTTTGGTGCTTTTGGAATGGCCATTAACTGACACAAAAAGCATGCGGTAAATGTGAAAACGCACAAAGCGCCATGGTCATTGTAGCTGGCCTTGGATATAACATTGGCAGAAACATCAGAGTACTTATTTAAACAAGTTATCAAGATACGTCTACATGAAGAAGTTAGATACCTTATAATATAAAAGGTGGATTTGTTTACATTTTGAGAAAACAGACCTTCCTGTTTTCACAATCACGTGTTTTCAAAAAAATATTATCTGCTCATGTGTGTTGTTCTAACTTCCACTGTGGAGCTTCTCAATGTTTACTGAATTTATTATTGTTTATATCCAAACCCATATTTGACACTTTTACCTACAGTGAGGTTTGTAAACACTTTCCCTACATGTTTTATTACTTTGACTGTCATCAGCTTTGGTTTTGGAAACCCTCAGTTTTCTGTGATTACCTCAAAGTAACTGGCGGTTGACGTCTATATCATGTGCTGAACACTTCAGTTCATGAAATTGGTACCATTTGCACATATATGGCTGTTGACTGGTACTAAACGAGCCATCTTGGATCAACGTCTCCATGTTGACTCTTCGTTGAAGCTTGTTATTTAGTTTGGCAAAATAAGAATGCAATGTGGCAGTCTTATGAATCGGAGTAGAAATTCCGTTAACTTATTCGTTATCTTTTAGACTCTTACATGACCATTCTTTGTGGCATTTATGTTGTTTGACCTGGTCATTAATTATTGTCAGTGGTTAGGTTTTGTGGTGAGTGACCAATACACTTGCTGTACAGTTAAATTTTTTATGTTGTGTTCAAATCTATCATTGAAATGCAATAAAATTTCATACTATGATTTCCTGATTGTGTCTTGTAGAAGTTTTGGCCCTTTTGAGATTACTTCTATTTCGTTATATTACTTCAAATTAGCAGGTTTGTTGGTGATATAAAGCTTATGACCAAACTACGTTGCCGAGTCGTACCGTTGAACGGGTTATACGTAGATTTTTACTATATCTACCTAGAAGTCGTCTCACTCGTAATATAATAATAATATATTTCTGCATGAGCAGACGCATGCCATTTTTACAGGCATGATCTACATATTAAGACATTTGTTGGCTCACAGCATGCTTCCCAAACTATTAAGTTTATAGTTGTTATAAAGTAGACTTGTAGAGCGCTTGCTGTAAACTATGACCTTGGGGAGACGCGTACATCAAGCTTGTTCCAAACGTCAGAAGTTCCATAGTTGTGCACTCAGAGCAAGATTCTGAAGAAAGAAAAAAGAGAAACAGAAGAGCAGCAAGGCACTTGGATATGAACGCAAAACGTTGCTTAACATTTCGTAGTAGAACAGACAGAGGTGTGATAAAACATGATGGGAAGTCAAGGTTGGTTCAAGAAAAGCTGTTTATTAGAAGGGGGTGTGCATATAGAGGGTGAAGTGTTAAGAATACTAATAACTATATTTCGTTGTCTAATTTTTTCTTTCTTTTTTTGTCCATCCGATGCCAGCCACACAATCCTAGTGTAAAAGTCGGAGTTAGCGTGTTATAGGTTGTCTTAGTAGAATAGCTAATCCAGCATAATATTGGAAACATGAGTCTGAGTAGTGAGCGTAAGAAAACAATCCATATCCCAGATTGATCGACTTATTCTCATTCATAAAGAGTCTGATACGAACAAAATGTTCTGCCCCACAAACATGGGTGGATTGAAGTCATCGCCCTCACCATCAATGCTTGCTGGTCAGTAACTCCACCCTCCCTCCTTTTGTGATGATAGGCTCATTTAAGCTTATTTTTGTATATATGTCATACCTCACCCAATCCTCTGTGTTTCACAACTTGTTCGAAAGCACTATTTTTATAAGTACCATTTTACAAGCCTATCAGGCAGTTACAAGCTATGGACTATGTGTAAGGCATCGATGCAGTGCTTCTGTTGACTATAGTATAAAGTATAGTTTGCCGATCAGAGTATAAGCATTAAGAAGGGTATATAGTAGGATAGTTGTTTATCAAAGCAGGCGGAAAAGTATGGAAGTATATGGGTTGTAGATAAGGTAACGAGTAGAGAAATAATATTAATTGCTAGTCAACATAGTGTACAGAAGAGTAAAAAGCTGATAAAGAATAGATAAGAAGGAACCCACATTAACTTGGTTCTTATCTTATTTTGTGCCATCCTAATCGGTTGATGGGTTACAGGCTCCATAGATGCAAGACCACTGATAGTAGGCAGTCAATTGTGCTGTCCTCTTGACTTTTTAGGGTGTTAGTGAATGTTCCATAGCGACCGAGTTTAGTTGAACAGTATCGATAGGTCCAGTGAGTTACCTGTCTACTTCAAGTGAAGAATTAGGATGGAAAAAGTAGCTAATATAACTGCAAAGCAGGAAAAATAAGACAAACTGAACTTGCGGTCCATTTTAGTCTAGACATGGAAAGAGCCTATGATGTCTGAGTGGGGCGCAGACGTGTTCGTATGCGCGAGATCAGTGCAAGTGAGGGCTTAATCAAGCAGTTTTACAAACTTATGGAATTCATCTGCCATGCGTATTTCGGAGGGAAAACTGTTCCATATTATTGCATACTTGGTGAGGAAGAAGTTTTCCCGAGTTTTTGATCTGTATTTCTCAACTTTGATCACAGATACTTTGTTAAGAAGTCCTTATTCATGTGAGACCGACCGAAGCTGCTACCTTGACGCGGTGGTCGGGCTTGCCCACCGTGATGACCCAATCGGTTGGCTGGAACATATGTCCCTGTAGATTCTATCATGCCAGGCAGGTCGATTGGAGAACGGTAAGACTAAAAGCAGGAACTCAAGGTCTGAGGGCGAAGTCGTACTGCTGACTGTAGAGGGGTGTGACAGCAGTAAGGTGTTTCCTTCGTACAACCAACATCTGCAGCGATGCTGCCTTCCCACAAGGAGGGGTGGGGTTAGAAAAGGTCTACCCTAAAAATTTCACACCTTACCTTACCTCACGGATTTCCGTCTCCGGTGGTAAGGCCCTTTGAAGAACGGAGCTAACACATTAAAAACCTTCCACGAAAATACCGTGCGCGACCGGCCTCAAGCAGCTGTCCCTTGGGCTCTGCGGTAGTTAAGGCCAACACTAATCCAATTTCCTTTTCATGTTCTTCAAGAAATACCCTTCCACGGTGTGGGCAGCTGGGAAGTGACACCAGCCCTCATACACGTAACAGCACACGAGACCAAGTTGGTCACATTCAAATCCTTCCTATACCTCCTAATAACTCTATCATCTCCACCGCTAGCCCTCCTCACGTCTCTTTATCACCTCGCACCGCTAGGGCAAACGATTCGAGTACGCGGAACGCTATTCCTGGTCTCCTGAAACCACGCTCTAAACTACACGTAGGAGCTCTTAACGTCCGAACACTGTGCCAAATAGGACAGCAGGCTTCCTTAGCTAGGACTTTAGAATCCCGCGCCGTCGATGTGTACTGCGTCTCCAAAACGCGCATACAGGATCCGAGTAGCGTCATTCATTTGACCTCACCATATCAAAATAAAGAACCGACTCGATTCACACTTCGTGTATCTTGGAGCCCTGATTCTGCTTCCCATGGCCTCGCCGGCGTAGGTATGGCATTGAGTCCTAGGGTAGAACTAGCTCTTTTAGAGTGGATCTCAGTAGACAGTCGTTTGTGCGCTGTCCGACTGAACGGAACAGTAAGGACTCGGAAAAATAGGGACACTCGTCGTTGCCTCTTCTTCGTCTCTGCCTACTCTCCCACTGACTGCAGCTCAGATAATGTAAAAGATGAGTTTTACAGAAAGCTCTCCGACCTCCAAAAAGCTAGGCGCTCTGATGTAGTAATAGTGGCCGGTGACTTTAATGCTCAAATAGGTAAACTAAGCGATGGGGAAAGACACCTAGGTGGATCTTATGGTGTCGTGGCTCAAAGAACAGGTAATGGCGACCGTCTGTTGCAAATATGCTCAGATGACCGCCTGTTTCTTGCAAATACTAACTATAAACATAAGGAAAAACAAATTTTGGCATGGCAACCCCCGAATTCGCCCCAGCGTTGGACCCAAATAGATCACATCGCTATCAGCCACCGATGGAGGAGCTCGATAGAAGACTGTCGCTCACTCTGGAGCACATGCTTAGATTCAGATCGTGCTCTAGTACGAGCGCGTATTTGCCTGCGTCTTACTGGACGTAAGAAAGACACTGCAAAGAAACCTCTTGGGAGCCTACTTAATGATAGTCAAGCCAAGAGTATATTTCAGGAACAACTAGAAAAACAGTTAGGCAGTCATGTATGTGATACCCACCCCGAGGCAGCATGGAATGATATCCGGAAAGCAGTGGAAACAGCAGTGATGTCTGCTAGTGAAGTAAATCACAAGGTTAGGGAGAAACACTGGATATCAGCAGCATCTATCGCACCGATAGATGCTCGGAAACCCATTCCACATGGCTCTGAACATAATGAAGAGCGGAGTCAGCTTAAGTGCAAGCTGACAAGAAGTCTACGCAATGATCGTGAACAGTGGTGGATAGCAAGACAAGAGTGATGGAAAAGGCAGCGGCAATAGGTAATAGCAGACAATTGTTCAGACTTGGTAAGGAAACCGGTATTAAGAAACCGACTGTTAGCGAGACACTCTCAGAGAAAGATTGACATATTATACATTCTCAATCCAGGAGATTGGATCGATGGGCAGAACACTTTAGGGATCAGTTCGACTGGCCTTCAGCCACACTTCGGTTCCCCACGATCACCAGTCAACCTGAATGGCAAGTTAATGTAAGTCCTCCGACTCTTTACGAAGTTTATACATCAAAAAGTTCAACTCGCACAACATTAAACGTTAAAATTAAGTTGAAAGGAAAGTAGAAATACCCAAAAGAACAGAGTGGCTTCATAAATAAATTTTTAAACACTATAAAATACTATATCAATAGACACAGGCCCTGACAGGTTTACTCCTGAGATTTTTAAGGATGTGGTCCAGTATTAGCAGTGAGATTAACTGAGGTCTTAGGTAGAATTTGGGAAGTGGACATAATCCCGTATGACTGGTCTCAATCACTGATTGTGCCAGTCTATAAGAAAGGACAAAAGTCCTCTTGTGACAATCACAGAGGAATCAGTTTGACTAATATAGTGTCTAAAATATTAGCTTCGATAATACTTCGACGCCTAACCAAAGCTCGTGAAGAACAGACTAGAGAAAATCAGGCTGGTTTTCGACCTGGACGTTGTTGTATACATCAGATACTCACACTACGTCAGGTTCTAGAACACAGACACACATTCAGACGCCCCACAATGGTAGTATTTCTCGACCTTAAAGCAGCATTCGACTCTGTTGATCGTGAGGTTCTATGTCAGTGTTTATCACTGAAAGGAGTACCAAAGAAGTACATTAACCTTATAAAGGCTCTCTACTCGAACACAACTGGTCGAGTGAGAGCTTATGGCGAACTGTCATCAGAATTGATTACCTCAAGTGGTGTTCGTCAGGGCTGTCCACTCTCCCCATTCTTGTTCCACTTTGTGGTCGAGGTACTTTTAGAGATAACACTTTCCTCGTCTAGATTTCCAAGGGTTGAACTTCTACCAGGAGATTCACTTGTTGACTTGGAATATGTCGATGGCATAGTTCTATTTGGTGAAGACGCTGACAAAATGCAGAGTCTTCTGGCCACTCTAAGCAACAATGCAAGCATGTTTGGGATGCGATTCTCCCCCTCGAAGTGCTAAATGTTACTTCAGGATTGAGTTGCATCGACACCCGAACTAATGATAGGGAGTGAAGTAGCTGAGCGTGCTGATCGCTTCACTTATCATGGGAGTCTCATCAGCCCTTGTGGTTTAGTGTGTGACGAAATCTCAGCATGGATACAGAAGGCTCGACCAACTTGCGTCATTTATGGCGTAGGCGAGATATCCGTCTATCAACCAAAGGACGTGTTTACTGTGCAGCAGTTCGTTCCGTCCTACTTTATAAGAGTGAAACATGGCCGGATATTCGCAGGTTACTAGTATTGAATCAGTTGAGATGGCTGGGATATGTGTTGCGTATGTGTTGGGGATCGCATTTCCGTCGCCAATTTGTTATGTTTCGTTATTGCTTGAATGCGATTACTGATGCGTTTTACTCGAAACGGAACGAAGGATCAATGATTCAGCGACTCGATAGCCTATTCTGGTCCGTTGTCCCCAACTCTGCTAACTCGATCAAGAAGTCTGGGTAAGGTGTAGAAAGTGTATTCTACAGACAAACAGCAGATAACAAGTCAGGCAGGCAGATCAGATCAAGCATACAAGTCAAGCGTATTTATACAATTATTTACAATCGATATTGTCATAGAAAATTTTTAAACATTATTCAATGAGTTCATTAATTGACCTATTTGCGCATTTAATCGATAGTTCATCAATTGACCCCAATAAAAATATCTAACATTTGATCGATAAGATAAAATTTAAAATATGAGTTTGGGGATCTATCGTCCCCAACACTCCTCCCCTTTTTAGAAGATCCGGAGTTGATATCCGGACTTTAAGTTTTCCAGGTCCATTCTCCCCCACGAAACAGTGTTGGATCCTCATGTGCCCACGTTATAATTAACTTGAATTTATTTAAGACATATTTATCGCACTGAACAGAGAATTGACTGAAAGTGATTAAGTCTTGAGACTGGACAACACTTGATATGAGGTGTTCGAAGTTTAATTCTTCTGAAATATTGTGACCAAATTTATTTGGAATCTTATTTGTAGATAATGGATCATCAAGGTAATTAGCATCTATCAAAATTGTATTAAGTTTTTGATCATCATTTGATGCATCTGACATATTTTCTGGTAAAAGAGAATCTTGATAATAAGATTTGTCAAAAACATCTGTCGCAGACTGATGAGAACCATTTGAAGCAGTTGTATTCAGTGTACTGCTCGATTTGTTTTTTGTTTCATGGGTGGTTATTGCGACAATTCTATGAGTATTTACCAGGGAGTGTGGTTGTGAGCTGGATAAGTCACCGTCTGCACATGCTGTTTTGGGAATAATGGAGTTTGAGTCCATTACCGGGCATGTTTCTGGAATGGAGAGGACTGGACCACTGGGCGAATCTTGAGTGACTGTTGTACCGTTTGAAATACGGTTTATCGGGGGTTCATTGGGGCTGCAATCATTTTCCAGCTCTGTGTGCAGTTGAGAGATCAATCCATACACTTCCGTTGCATCTCCAAAGCATGAGTGATTTAACAGCTGCGTGCGTAATTTGACTAAAAACTCCAACTGTCTTTCAAATAGCAGCTCTACTCGATCGGAAGGGAGAGTCATTTTTTTTATTCAGCACCGGTAATGCAAATTACTGTTTGATTAATGAACAATGTTGCTGAAGGACACTGATGACAAATCTGGATGCTGAAGGCTGACTTTGGATTGTTCTTTTTTTTTTACCCCGTCGCCAATTTGTTATGTCTCAAGGAGAGATCCGATTATATGACAGTGACTTATCGATCGGATCAAGGATTCAGAATCTCGATAGACTATTCTGGTCCGTTGTCCCCAACTCTGCTAACTCGATCAAGAAGTCTGGGTAAGGTGTAGAAAGTGTATTCTACAGACAAACAGCAGATAACAAGTCAGGCAGGCAGATCAGATCAAGCATACAAGTCAAGCGTATTTATACAATTATTTACAATCGATATTGTCATAGAAAATTTTTAAACATTATTCAATGAGTTCATTAATTGACCTATTTGCGCATTTAATCGATAGTTCATCAATTGACCCCAATAAAAATATCTAACATTTGATCGATAAGATAAAATTTAAAATATGAGTTTGGGGATCTATCGTCCCCAACAGTATGCTCAACTACCGACTGCCCCTACGAGCGATGTTTTGTGGTGTAGGAGTAGGTTGGAAGAAAGCTAAGGGCGGCCAGATCAAAACATGGCACAAGTCCATGAAGTCACTGACAAGTGAACTGAGTCATATTGATGGGTGTAGACTATCTGGTTCGGGACAGCGAGATGATAGCAACTGATGGTTAGAGACCCTGAATGACATGTCTCAAAATCGTTTGCAGTGGCGCAGGTGCATCCACTCTTTGATCTCTCCCAAATTCTAATCTTCTGAATTATTCATGTCCCTTTTTTTCTCTTCCCAAATTTATTTCACTGGATTATACTTCATGAATAACATCTTCGGACGCTAATCTTTCCGATTACTGTTTATACTTTTACTATCTCTACCATTTCGGGATTTGGATCGACAATTGTATCTCTGTGCTAATGTGGTATGGCAACCCGAAATGGTGTACATACGTACGAAGTTCTACGTTGTTACTGACTGGCTGGCTGACGTATTTATGTGAATCTCGGGCAAGAATTATCTTACATGTTGAATAAGTAAAAGTTTTGAGTAGGTTGAAGTAGAGAATCAAATTAGACCTAAGCCTTCTTTTTCAAAGTGGTTCCATTTCTAAGATTTGGCATCGGGAACTGTAGTCAGTGACCGAGTCAGTCTTAAGTATTTTGCGGATGAAATCCCGTTGTATTCCTTACACCTTTAGTATACCAGATAGGTGTAGGTTGAAACATAAGAACGAGCAGTATTCAGCGATAGGTCTTACACAAACTTTGTAAAGAAGGATTTTAGATTCATTTTGATAGAAATTACGGAGAATGAAGCCACGCAATTTCCGCATTTTGGATGCTTTGGCTGAGATGTGTTCAGAGAAATTACGACTGTGTGAGTAATGTACCCCTAGGTCAGTTACTGATGCCAGTCTGGGCAGTGTGTGATTGCTAAGTGTTAGTTTCATTTTAAGAGACGTGTCTCCTATACATAACCAGCCGCATTTCTCTGTGTTGAGCTCTTAGCTCCAGCGTTTGCACCAGTCGTCTACCATGTTGAGCTCATGTTGGATTGTTTGCATAGTACTGCGTAAATCGCAAATGTCAGTTTTATAGATGACATTTAAGTCATCGGCATAGAGGTAGGTCTTACCTGTGCTGAAACACTTGCATATATTGTTGATGTAGATTATAAAGAGCAATGGACCCAAGACACTACCCTGCACAACACCACTGGTTATTGGTCGAGGTGTAGATGTATTAGAGTTAATCTTGGTTATTTGATATCTGTTCGTAAGAAAAGACTTGATCCATTGCAAAAGGAGATTTATAATTCCAACTGACTTAAGTCTGTTAATTAGAAGATTATGAGGTACTTTATCAAAGGCTTTCTTAATATCGATGTATAGTATAATAAATAGTTTCTTCTGGTCACGTATACGAGTAACCTCGTTAAAAAAGTCTATCAGGCATGTACTGCACGACCTTGTTCTAATAAAGCCGTGTTGTGACGGGTCTATTAGATCTTCCTTGAGTAGGTGATCAGATAGTTGATTTTGTATCACTTTTTCCATTATGCGTGATATGACTGGAGTGATGTTTATGGGTCTGTAGTTTTCGAGCAGGTTATTCGGTTGTGATTCGTGTTTGAGAAAAACTTACGTTACCTTCCGGGTTTCCGGATTTGTACTTGCCTCTAAAGATAATGTGTATGTTTTGAGTAATAGCGTCTGCATGTCCGGTCCTGACATTTTATAAAGGATTGAAGGGATGTCATCGGCATTTGGCTTAAGGGCTTTAATGGCGGTATGTATACTCCTAATGTCGATGTTTATGGTACTAATGTAATTTTTGCTGATGCGCTTTATGTTAATATCTGGGGTATGAGACGTGTTCCCGTTGTGGGAAAGCCATTCACTTAATAGTTCACATATGACGGTTTGGTTATAATATGTCACTCCATCATACAGTAAGGAGTGAATGTTGTGATCTGCATTCTTTCTTATGGGTTTTACGAGGAGACGACATAAGATTTGGTCTTTAGATGCATCAGTGAGCGCAGTACGTTGCTCTGCCTGTTTATGTTTGTTGTGTCGTCTTTGCACTCCCTCAAACACAGAATATATTTGGTGCACAGCACTGAAGTCATGTGATATGCAACGCATCTTTTTTAGTTTTAGCAGCTTACGCGTAGTATTTGGGTTGACATAGGGAGTAATTGTTTTAAAAGCAAATTTAAAGGGAATAGTAGTGTCTAGTGTAGATTTGGTGGTGGTATTGAGTATTTCTAATGTTTCTAAAAGGTTATCACTGATAAAGAAACTGCTCTAGTCAGAGTGCTTTATTAGAAATAGAAAGTTTTCCCAGTCAGCGTTTGCATGATCTTTATATTGGAAACGCGTATTTAATGTCTATAATTTGTTGCACATGGCAAGAATCGGAAGGACGCAGAGGACTATTTTATGATTGCTGTTGTGAAACTTTTCGCCAACCACCATTGACGTTGGTGTAATATTGTGACAAAATATCAAGTCAAGAATGTTGTGATTTCGTGTAGGCAGGTGTACATGCTGCGGCCAACCGTGTATATCTAAGGACCTAAGTATGCTTTCAAAGCACAATGGGCCAGAATGTGTCGTCCAGTTGATGGCGGGAAGGTTTAAATCACCACATACAATTTTGTAAGTAAAATCAAGCGAGGCAGCTGGACTAGGAGTGTTAGGAGCTTGATATATGCATCCGATTAGTATTTTACATTCATGAGTGTGCACAGTAAGCCATATCGAATCAGGAAGTTTGTTGAGGACATGGTCGCTATAGGTTCTTGCTCTCAAATTTTTTGATACATAAACAATACAACCACCACCCTTCTTGATGACTCGATCACAGCGGAAGAGCTCATAGGTGTCTATCTGTATATTACTTTGTACAGATCGAGCGTTGATTAACATAAGTGTCAGGTACGGTGAGTGTTTGTCTAGTAGAAGGGTATAATATAAACCTAGTGAATTGTCTGTTTTCCCATGAGAAAAGGAAGAATTGGGAGTGTTGACTTCATATTGATGAGCGTTTGGTTTATTACCAATTGGGTTAATGCGAAAAAGGTAGTCGGAAGTTAGTTTGATGAAAGAGGTATTTTTGAGAGTGTAAGGTAGAGTTGAATGGTTAGGTAGTGTATTCGGGGAGTGATCAGGAGGTTCAGTCATGGAGCTTTTAAGACTAGAGACAGTTATTGATTTTGGGAAAGATGTGCCACTCTCCATTAGGTCGGGGTATATCGATGGCCTCGGAATAGTGGGATTGTCGCCCTCAACATTTGGAGACCCCATAGCAGCACTGTTGAGGGGGAAAGAGATCAAAAAGGATGGGATAGTGCACAGGTTGAATTAGGGGGGATTAAAGAGTTGTATAGGGTGGCTTGACTTAGACTGTATCTAGAATCAGTAAGTGGGTTCCTAAGTAGGCCAACGTTATGGCTTCCTTGTGTGCGGTGGGCAATTTTAGTTCTGTTGTCGGTAGTTGGGGAGGTTGTATGTTTCTGGTAAGGGATGATGGATTGCCTGATATTGTTGCCAAGAGAGGTGTTTGTGTTGTGTGTAGTTGTGTGCTAGTTCATGGACCTTGCAAGGTTCACGCTATATGACTTATGGGTATCACATGTAGGTGTGGTTTTTGTCGAATGTTGTTTTGTAGAATTATGGTCTACTATGATATTAGTACTGCTCTAATAATAGACCTAATCCTAAATTTTGTAGATTTCTCATGATATAACTGCCTGATCTATAAGATCTTACGTGGAAGTCACACCATCGACTACACCAACTCACTGTATCGTATCAATTACCAATACATGATGTAGAACAAGGTTAGGCTAGAGAAGGAACAATATATTTAATATGAATAGAAGATGTAAGGTAACATTCAGATGGACCACGCCTGCATGGTCGAGCCATGCCATCCGATCAACCTCCATTCATTCAATTAACTGTTCCCGCCTTTTCCATCGTTAGGTATTTTTCCGCGTTAAATATTGAATATCTATTTTCCGAGTAGTGTTGTGTTCACCTTTGAAGATTGTGTGGTTATGGTTCAATGCCACTACAGTTTCACGTTAGGATGAGTTGGTACGGCCAGTTCACTATATTTGTTGTAGGGGATTCTACTGCTGTGAAAAAGGTGCGTGTTTTGGGTTAGGAGTTCTAGAGTACTGGTGGGTTTTTACAGAGAGTTTAGTATTATTTCGTACAGCGGTGTCTACGCGTCTGTAGCTGTTAGGGCAACTCCTAGGAGGATCATTTTTAGGCTTTTAATTGGAGCTGCTGGGGCAACACTGAGGCATAAGTGAATTGGCATTTTGAGGCAGCTGAGTGTTTGGGCTAAGGATGAGTGGTTGCAGCTGCTTTATGTGCAGTCTTGTTCTTAGGACTAATAACAGCATTCGACGTGCCTCCGTTTTTAGGAGTGGTAGTGTATGGTGTTTTAGGATTTGTGCAGTGGCAAACGCTGTAACTGTCGCGGCTACGTAGGCTGGGTTGATTAGTATGTATTCCATTGAAGATTCGACGCTGGATAGCAGTCCTGTCGTGAATGATTGTAATCTTTTTAAATGTTGGAACACGCCTCAGTGATGACTGACTATTGGCTTGATTGGCTTAAGTGATACTACCAAACTGAAATAGAATGGAATAGGAGGCTTTACGTAATCTACTTGTTACACACCAAGATTGCAACAATCCATATTCTTGTAGTGGTGTATTTTTAGCAATATTTACTTTCGCACTATCAGATATATTATACACAATGACATTCTGCATACACTGGAGTCTTTTCAACACTTCATATGATATATGGTCAATTACTTTGTCAGTGTTTTTTGTAATTTCGAGATTGGGATTTTCTGGAACATCGATTAAACATTTGTACGGTTATAA